ACAATGGTTTCAGATGATAATAAACGAATATGGATGATTTCAACTTCGTTATTGATTAGAGATCAAAAAAAAAAAAAATGGATATTTGCAAATATTTTTATATCATCTTTACAAATTATCATTTTATTATACACTTTAATTTCGGATCAGAAAACACTCACTGGCGATTTGTAAACCCAACATCAGCATAAATCCGATAATTATGGCAGTTAATTGTAAAAGGCCACTTTTCTCGTTAGCTCTCTCTCGCGCCAATACTTCGAAGAAAACCACGTACAGCAATGTTCCAGCAGCCATTCCTTGTAGTATTGTTGGAGTAGGTCCTAAATTCTCACTATCATTTTTAAAATGACCAAGGGCTAATCCAACAGCAATACCAATTGGTGTTACCATAGAAAATATTGTTAGATATCCAAGAGTAGTCTTAGTAGAAGCACCAGCAACATAAAGTTCCATACCAACACAAAATGAGATCACTAATTTATGAGTAGCTATTGCAGCAGCCAGGTAAATAACAGAACTAATAGAAGGTTCTAAACCTACAGCTAAACCTTCGAAAATTGCGTGAAAAGATAAAGCAAGAACTGTTAATAGTCCTTGTATTGATGTTTTTTTTGTTATAGTCACATGATTATGTTCATGATGCTCCATTCTGGGATAATGATTCAATTCTACATCAGAAAAGTGCTTCATGTTGTTTTGTGAATTATGCTTTGTGGAAGATAATCCTATAGGAGATGATAAAACAAATATTGCGGGTAACATTTTCTCTTGTTTGCTATCATGAAATTCATCCAAATTGTTTTGCCGTTTGTTTAAATTATTTTCGCTATTTTCTGAATCATTGTTATCTTCTTTCCATGTAGACCTGATTGTGGTGGATACTGTAGTGGTCGATCCAATTGTGGTTGATGTTGCACTTGTTTGATTGTTACATCTACGCACAGATACTGTTCTATATAGCAGCGCTTCTGATGAATCGGGTTTTCCCGTCAGCGCTGCATGTACCGCCTCCTCAACGAAGTAGACGAGAAAAAATCCGGCGCAAAATAGTAGCTCTGATAAACTTAGCGTGCCTAGAGTAGGTAGTTGACTATTTGTTTGATGTCTTTCTACGCTGATTCGGACTTCTGGAGCTAGATGTAAGAATGTAGTGAAGAGAAGAACTCCTCCGCCAAAACAGAGCAGCAACGATGTTTGTAAACCCTGAAGAGTATATGTTATATTTTCTAATTTGCCAAACATTTCATGTCCTTTAAAACCATTTTATTCTTTCTATTCTTTTTCTTTTTCTTTAATTTTTATCATTGTTGAAAAAGTTTAATTAAATAGAACTATTGCCATTATATTTTATTTATTTAATATTATTGTTAATTTAATTTATTAATTTAGTTTAGTAGTTAGAAAATAAATTTTTTTTATAAAATCAAGAATTCTACCACAATAAATCAATATAAGAAAAATAGGAGAAGTTGGTTTTTCAACAAAAATTCTCAATTGATAAAGTATAATCAATAAGATATATAAAGAAATAAATGGAATAACTATATAAAGTTTATAATATATAATAAAGTATAAAATGTAAGAAAAATATTATGAAGTATTATATATTTATTTGCTTATTTCGATATAGAAATAAAATTTAATGTGGATTAATTTTCAAATAAATATTTCTATCAATTGAGAACTATTAAGAATTATTGAATTCTTTTATAATTTTATCATTGAAATTTTGGTATTAAGATTCAAAACGTACTTGTGAACTCGTTGCAGATCCAGAGATGACACTAGCGGATGAAGCGTTTGAAACTGATGTCGATGTACAAGTACTGGAATTACTGAAAATTCCACAATGTTTTTTACAATGATTCATTCTGTAACGTCCGACAATCAGCGGTAGCATTCCCAGAAGCAAAGAACCAAAACCAAGACCAATCATTGCACCTATCTTTGCTACTAATAAAACAGTAGATGTAGTTGCTTCCTCCATTTTTATTTTTCGTTATATTTTAAAAGATAAATTTGAATTTTAAGAAATTTTTATCTCAATTCCATATATTATCCAAAATAAATGGCTTATCGATAATCAGTCAATCTTGAGATTTCTCTTCTTTACTTTTATTTTTTCTTAATTATCATTTTATCATATTTTTTCTGCTCAATTAACATTTCATTTTTCGATCTCTTCTTGATGTTTAATTTGTCAAATGTTTCGCACTTTTTTCGTCTTTATCCAGACAATCAATCGAACGAAGTATTCACTTTGTCACTTAACACACGTATGAGCCACTGGTGAACGACATTTAACGATAAGACCAGATTACTTTAGTAAAATATTAACGCAATATGAAATTTAATTAAAGAATTAATTCTCGCATATTATTTCAGATTTTTCATATTCTTTTAAAATATTTATATATTTTTAAAAATTTTTATATATGTACAATTTATACAATTACCGATGTATATACAATATATATAATTACCGATCTTTAGTATGCAAATATTTGGAGGCATTACATAGATGATTAGAATTAAAATAGAATTATAAAAATAATTATATTATTTTAATGTATTTTATATATATATATATATATAATATTAATATAATATTATATTATATATTAATATATATATATTAATATAATATAATATTATACATATAATATTAATCTTTTTTTATATATATTATATTATCAATATTAATTTCCTTAAAAATATTTGTAAAAAAAAAACATTTTTAATAATTGTAAAATTAAATTGCTTTGATAGTTTTAATATTAATTTGCAATTTTATTTACGTATTGTAATTTTATATAATCTTTTCACTTTAATTTTATTAAACTATAATTCTATTAAAACTTTAATAAAATAATGATAATTATAATCTGTATTAAAAATGAAATTTAAATATTTTAGTGAAGTCAAATTTCTGTAAAATAATATGTGTTAGATCCAAATTGTTGAAGAAATTACACTCTTTACTTTGTATTGCAACACTATTTTGTGGTTGAAAAATGTGAACAGATCAATATATAGTTTTGAAATGACTATTTAATTGTTGATGATATCTTCTAAATATATTTTATAACCGTATATTTTAACTAGTGAGCTTGTGAGAAAGTTTATTTTTGAGAATCGCGAAAAGGATTTGAAAAAACTATATAAATGAATCTAATTAGAATAAATTACGTCTGTTCCATGCGGTACGACGGTGAATCGAATACTCAGGGCTAGTTGCCTACTCGACTCATGATCCCCTCGCGTCTTACATAGCCGTGCTGTTTCCTGCTCTCTTCCCCTTCCATTAGACACATTGCTTCCTACCAGACCGATGCTCGTTTCTCTCCTTTCCCCTTTTGTATTGACGCGTGTTGCTGTTGCTGTAGTGTTGGACAGTTACGTGCCACAGCTAACGTGTATGTAAATGTTTCTCGCAGATGCATGAACTCAACGTGACTGTTTGGTGACCTGATAGCGAACATGACTTACAGATACTATATACTGACAATCGTGGAGAAAAATGAACGATTTGCAAGCATTGCGCGCTTGAAGTGTTGGGCTGAGCGATTGTTATTTTCATTGATTGCTGGATCAATTCGTTGTGAGATTAGATGCTCGATAATTTTAAAAAAATATATTAATATTAGTTTGAAAATGAAATTAATACAAAAATTATTGATAAAATTTGACATATTCTATAATAGGTATGTTATTTTATTTCTGATTGAGAATTATTTATTTTAATCTTATTTGCAAATTTTATTTATATTTTTAAATTAGAAAATTATTAAAAATAGAAATAGATAGAAAATTATTAAAAATAGAAATAGAAAATTATTAAAAATAAAAAAAAATAGAAATTAAGAATATGAATTATGAATATATATTTTTTATGTTAACTTAATAATTTATTTAATTATAAATAAATTTAAAAATTTGAAATTAAGTTAATTAGGAATTAAAAATAAATATATATATATTGCACATGTTTCTCCTATTTCTTTAGTTTGGTTTCTTTAAGTGTAACTTATATTAAATTATTTTCAATTCGGAATTTGCAGCATAAATATTCATGTTATATTATGAATAATCATGAATTAAATACACTGGATATATATTTCAAACTTCAAAGGCATTTCCAATTATATAAGTACTATAATAATAAAAGTTAAATTATTAAAACATGATACAAAAAAAGCTTTTGTTTTGCTGTAAGTTAGTCTTAAAATTATTCTTTCAAATACTTTTTGATACATTTTTATAATCTAATTGAATATATATTTTTTATCAATAAGAACTCAAGTTACTCATATATTATTTTATTAGTTGACATTTTCATAATTTTTTTTATAAATTACATTAGCGAAAAAAAATTTGATTTAAATCAATAAAGTTTATTCAAATGCATATTAAATAATAATAATTATTATTAATTATTATTATTTAGTTTTATTTTTGATTATCTAAATAATTATTCAAATATAATTTCGAAAAAGTTAATTTTACTATAGAATTTTTTTTTTACTTTAATAATCTAATTGTATTTTTTTTAAACAAACAATAATTTTCGCACATATAATTATAAATTATCATGATTGCTTATCGTTATGTCAGAAATATTTAATTTATTTTTTTAGTTTTTCTAAAATCATAAATTAATGTTTATAAAGAAGATTTTGATTATTGGATGGGAATTTAATTAGGTTCGAATATTTCTCGCATTATTGAGACAAATATCTATGCAATAACTCTAAAAGAAGAATAATTTCATATTTAATTATATATATATATATATATGTAATAGACTTTATATTATATTAGTTTATATATATTACAATTGATAGAATAATATTTTTATGTTTATAAGAGTATATCTTATAAATATTTTTAAGTATTAATTTTTATTTGAAAATAATTTTGTACTTACTTAACAACTGTAATCCAAACATCAAGATGAATCCAAATAGAATCGATAAATATTGATTGAGTCCACTTCTATGCTCTTGAAGAATTTCGAAAAATATTACATACAATAATGTACCAGAAGCCAAACCCTATATTAATTATATATAAATATATATTAAATATATATATGTAGAATATATATATATATACTATATATATTTTTTATTATTATTATTATATATATAATTAAAAAATATTATTATTATATATATATAATAATATATATTATTTTTATTTTCTATATGTATTTAAATAACATATTTAATTATTTACTGAGGAAAAGTATAAAAATGTTTTTGCATATATACCTGCAGTAGTACTGGTAATATGCCACTGGTGGCGGCACTTTCGCCACCAACTAGAAAAATTCCTATGGCAATTCCTAGAGGAGAAACAATTGCAAATGTGCAAATATAGATTATCGAAAGATATCGTCTGGTATTATAAGTAATTAATTCTACACCAATACAAAATGCTATCACGAATTTGTGAGCTGCTACTGCTGCAAACATGTACCTGAAAACAAAAACGAAAATGAAAACGAAATTAATACTTTTATTAAAATATGTTATTATAAAATTTTTGTAAATCTTTGTCTTGTAAATATTAAACATATTATTTATGAATTAATATTCATTAACTATTATCTATTACAATTTACAATTTTTAAATAAAAAAAATATTATTTATTTCATTAATTTTCGTGAAGTCATTTTTGATTTGTTCATCTTAGCGATAATGATAATTATATTGATGATTATTAAATAAACAAAAATTAGATGTATTAAATTATTTTTGATCAAATCTGAAAGTTAATTTTTAAATTAAAACGTTATTAACATTTATGCAGCAATATAATCTATTGTGTAATTGATGATTCAAATAGATCTGTTTCAAACATTTCTTTTGAAATTTTTGGTTTAAATCTTCTATTAATTTTCTTTTTAATTTAAATAAAAATAAAAATAAAGATTTTTAAATATCCAAACAATATTGGAAATTTTAATATTTTATTTTATTTCTATTTCATTGTTTATTAAAAAACAAACATACCAAACATAAGAGGCTGAACTTTCTAATCCAATAGCAAGTCCTTCAAATAATTCATGTACAGATAAACCCAAAATAATTAATAATCCTCTTAATGAACTTATGACAAAGTCATGTTTCTCATCTATTATGACTGGTAAGTGATGCGAATGACCATGACTGTTACTATAACATATATATTTTTGTTCCATATAATTTGAAATAACATGATTGTTAGATATTTCTTACTTACTAATGTGAATGTCCACTAACAAAATTCGGCAAAGTTTCTCCATTTTCGATTAATTCATTGGTACTCCTGCTAACATCTTTCTTTGAAAATTCTTTTTTGTGTGCTTTTTTCTTCCGCAAATATGAATGTACTGATTCTTCGACCAAATACATAATAAAAAAACTAAAAATGTATAACATAATATTAAATTCTTACTTATATATTATTTTTATAAATTTTAAAATCTTTCTTTTAAATGTAATAAAAATAAATAAATTAATTTTATTTTATTCACCCAGTACAAGTAAGCATTTCAGATAAGGAAAAATTAAATTTTGGAAGTTTTCCTTCTTTTGTAAGATGTTCTAGTCCTTTCTTTACTTCGGGTAATAAATGAAGAAACATCGTGCAAAAAAGAACACCACCACCGAATCCAAGAAGAAAGCTTACTAATTTTGTTGACCTACAGCAAAAATAAATTAATCTTTAATACTAACTTATCAATTCATTTTTTCGATTTTTATTACATTTATGCTTTTATATTCATATATAAAATTATTTCATAGAGGTTTTTACTAGTACTTTGATAAGTTAATATATATAAGTTATTATATTATATAAGTTATTATATTATAAGTTATTATATTATATAAGTTATTGTAACACATGTTATGTTATAATCAAATTGATAAAATTTCGAAATTTATTTTTCATAAATAATATAAATCTGACATTTGTTTTATCTTTTTAATTTTTTTTTATTTTGAGTAGGATTTATATTTACAACAAAATAGAAATATGAATAAACAATTTGAATTAACTTAATTATTAATAAATAAAAGAGATTACAAAATAAAAAAATTTTTTTATCATGTAATTTATTATTAATTATGTTAATACCTAGGATTTTCAGTATTAGAAATATTCCATTTTAAGCACTTTGCCATTTGCATAGGTAAAATACCCATGCAAGTGCTTACTATGCATAAGATAATCATTGTGATTCCTTTTGCGATCAATACATCCGACATATTTTCATCATTGTGATGATATTCTTCATATTTTTCATCATGCGGATGGAAAGTTGTTGTCAATATTTGAATAAATGAGTTATTTTCTAACAGAGACATGATTTTCCTTTATCAACAATCGAGATTCTAAAAATTAAATATAATTTACTATACTGAGTGAAAGTTAAAATTTTAATTAAATTAATTTTTTACTTTACTAATTTTTCATATTTTATGATATCAATTATACATTATCAATTACATTTAAATTTAAAAAATTTTAAAGTTATAAAGAATTTTTGTACATAAAAAATATTAATATATAAAGTATAAATATAGGATTCCTTTGATAGATTTTAGACATCAAAACAATGAAAAAAGTTTATATGTATGTATACATATGATAAGGTTTAATTAACGAGTTATAAGCATTTTAAGTTTATTAAATAGAGTGAAAGAACACTTAGCTGGATGAGCGATAATATTGTATTGTAATATCTCTTGTATAGTAGAATTTTTCAATGAAAGTAAATATACTGATATTTTTTTTATATATAATTGATTATTTCAAATGAATTTTAATATAATGTAATATAATGTACGTATTAATGTAACTCCTTATTTAACAAAAACTTACTTCGAATAAATTTTAGTAAATTCTAGAATATTAATACATAACTTTATTTAAATCTATAAGTAATCATTATATATATATTTACAAATATATTATTTAAATCCATAACTGAATTATTGCATAATATTCAATTTGTCTACTGGCGAAATCCATAGTGAGTCAAAACACAATCTCATAAGATTTCAGACTAAAAAAATGTATTTTTCTACACATAAATTTGCTTATCTTCACATGTACAAAAAAGTCACTAATGATATTTGAATCAATTTAAAATTCATCGATCAAAGCATCAATTGAAAATCTTGTGATTATTCCATTTGAATTCATTGTGTTTATTTCATTCAATTCAAATTTTTTATTTCGATATGAAATTATTAAACAAAAAAAAATAATAGCCAATATAGTTCAATATCTATATTTTATCATATCATACTAATATCTTTGTAAATCTTAAATCTCTCCATTAAAAAAATCATATAAGCATTGCACTTTTTTTTTATGTTATGTTATTGCATATTAAATATTTTTTTTATATACTTTTTATACATTTACATTTTTTTGAACAAAATTATTTAGATTATTATTTTTTATTGTACCATTCAATTTTATATGAAAATTATTTAATTAAAATTTTATTTTAAACAAATTTAAATTTAATATTTAAATTTATGTATTATTTCATCAAACTTTAAACTTGATTCCGCGACACGACAATGTATTACTGAAATAGCGTTGCTAACAATTGAATGCTAATGGATATTAAAAGAGATTTGATAAAAAGAAAAAAATGAAATAGAAAATTGAATATTATTTTTATATGTATAAAAATACGAAAGTCTAGATCAATAATCTTTTCCATTGGTAAGATAGTATTGCTTTGTTCTGGATTCGGATTGTTCGTAATGTTCGTATAATCAGAAATAAAAATATAAAAAAAAAAAAATTAGTAAATTTATAATATATTCATTCGAGCATGCATAAAAAAAGCAATTGCGATATGTATGCATTTTTTATGGATATATGATATATTAATGTGTAATATATAATATATATATATATATGATATAATGTGTAATATATTGATTCATATTATTAAAAGTAATATCCAAATCGACTATTATTTCTCTTTTACATAAGAATAAGAAATATCTAATGCAAATAAGAAATAAAGATAAAAATTTGTGTAATTTGATTGAATGTTTAATAATCTGAAATTCAAAATTTAATGCGACATGATTTAACTATCATTATTACTTCGGATTTTTTTGTACATGTGAAAAAAATTAAAAAAGCAATTGTGCATATAAAAACACAACCTTTCTAATTTGAAATTTTATAGAAATGTGTTTTGATTTGTTTCTATGGATTTCTTCAAATGATTGTTGAATGAAATACAACAATTCATCAATGATTTTAAATAAAATAATTTATAATCATCGTAACTTCAAATATTAATAGAATTTGCTATAATAATTCCGAGTTAAGTTTCTGTATTCTGTATTCTGTATTTTTAAATTATAAATTATATAGATTTCAATTTATATAATTAAAATTTTTTTTTAAACGATATAAAAATGTTGAATAGTTATATTACAATAATTATATTAATGTAAATTATATATTATTTTACAGAAATTATATATAAATTATATAATACTGAAATTCATTTGAAATAATCAATTGTATATAAAAAAATATTAGTGTAATTATTTTCATTCCGATATTGTAATACGGTATTATCGTGCACAGTTGAGCGTTTTCTTTGTTTCACCATCTCACTCTATCTAATACAAATTTAAAATGCTTATAATTTGTTAATTAAGCTTTATCATATATATAATATAACTAAGCTATATCATATATATTTATCATATATATATAAATTTTTTTCATCGTTTTATATGTCTAAAATCTATCCTCCACATTTTTATGAGTACTCTATATATATTTATAAAATATAAATTGTAAATTTATAAATATATATATAATATATATATAAAGTAAATTATGTATGTATATACAATTTTTTTATATTGATAAAATTTTTACTTCATAAATTTTTAAAAATAAAAAATATGTATATTTTTTACATTTACAAGTTTCAAGCTTCAAGTTTTTTACAATCATAAATAAAAATAGATTTTTTATTTTTTAAAAAAATGATATTGATACAATATTTTATCGTTAAAGTTAAAATTTTGATATCGAACATCAATTATACAATCAGCAATTGTACAAATTAATTGTAAATAATATTAATGCAATAGGAGCATCATTCAAATATTCTAAAATTTGCTTTAATTAATTTATTTATATTATTTATAAATAATATATTGAATTCATATTGTTTACAAAACTTATTAAATTCTATAATTTTAATTGAGACGAATTTTATAAAGTATA